ATAACTACTCGCTGCTTCCTATCCGTTAACCAGTTATCAATCCAGGTCGCTACAGTTCCCTCTGATGTAATGACATGCAGACCAGTGTGTACTGGATAAAGCGTTGGAAGATGGATCATGTAGATTATTGGATATTGTATTTAGAAAAAAACAATTAAAGATAATAATACTGGCAGTTTAGTCTTAGTTACCTACTAGTCGGCAGACCCGCTGCGTTCTCTTTAGTCCTTCCTTTCATTTTTTCCCTTTGGGTGATCTACCCATTTGTCCCTCCTAATGCTTTGTGTGAGAGAGGAGAGAGGGCCTGATCAGCATCTGTTGGCCACTACAGGTTGGCCAGGGAAGAGATGCATAAACAGGAGCTGCGACAGCGAGTCCGGGTCGCCGACAACGAGGTGATGGAAGCATTCCGGCGCATCATGGCTGCGCGACAAAAGAAACGTACCCCCACAAAGAAGGAGAAGGACCAAGCCTGGAAGGCCCTGCGTGAGAGGGAAAGCATTCTGAAACTACTAGATGGTTAGAGGAGATACTGAAAGGAGCAGAGTGTAGTTCAGCCTTCTAGAGAGGGATACTCTGAATGGTTTCTGCATTCTTTTTCAGTGGAGTTAGGACTCATTTAGACATGTTATACTTGATATGGTAATTGAGGTAAACCAGCTATGTTTTTTTTTTTTTTTTTTGTAAAGTTTGTACTATGCTTGCCGTTGAATCCATGGACATCCACTTTATTTTAGTGTTTTTCAGTTGTCACATTTATACATATGTACAAAATCAGATGTTTTAATAAAAAGAACTTTGTGTAAAGAATGCAGCACTGCTTTAAGTTTTTGAAAGGTTTTAAAACGGTTTAATCATATTTGAAGGTAATATAAGCTGATCTTGAGATTTTCAATGGATATTTAGTTATCCTGTGGCTAATCATGCAAATAACTCTGCCAGATATAGAGAGATCGGAGATTGTCCTGTATATGATTTGTAAAAGGATTGCAGACGGCACAGTAGACTCAGCAACGTTTTAAAGATTTTTTTTCTTTTTGAGGTCTGAGGGTAAATGCTTGTCATGCACGTAAAGGTTTACAGGAAATGTCATTTCTTAAGCGAGCAGAAAGCACGGAAGTAGACCCATGATTTCAAAATCGGAGCGTTTCTGTAATTGGCTAATTAAAGTTTAGCCAGGGCGTTAGAATACCCTATTGGCTGCTTTGTATATCAACTTCAGTCTAATTAGCCAATTAGAGCACGGGGCTTATGTCAATCACGAGCCAAGATTAAGAGGAAATAGTGAGCAGCCCAGTGAAGAAACCGTAGTATTATCCATTAAATTAACCGTAAAAGTTGTTAATACAAGACATTTCTCAGCTTTAAGTTTTAATAACACTTTAATGCACACGTAAGCCATAATCGCAGAGACTGGAAAGAGCACAGCAGGACTTACACATGGTATATAAAGTGGGTTTCAGTATTTTTAAAAAAACGTTCTTATGGTCCCGCCACATTTTAAGTTAACACATATTATTGAATTTACCGGGGTACTATAAACTTTTCCCAATTAAATAACATATGCATTTAAGAACTTTGAATCCAACATACTCAGCTGGGCGTTGACCGCAGAAAGAAACGAAAATCAAAAAGCAATACAGTCTAATCATGACATCAGCTCTATGGTGTGTTACCGAATAAGTCAATAAGTAAGGTAATTTACCCCTATCTTACAAGACAAAAGTCACGAAACTTTCACCAAAAAAAAAAAAAAAAAAGCAAACGCGCGCAAAATAAACGTCTTCTGCTATAAAATATATTGAATGGTAATTAAAGACATTGCCATGTTAATGGCTATTGACACAAAAGTCGTAAAAAAAAATAAAAATCTGCTCAAGTCCATGTTTTCTACTTTGACTCCTTGGGCGCCTTCTTGGCTTTGGGCACTTTGGGCACGGACGGCTTGGTGACCTTCTTCGGCTTCACCTTCTTGGCAGCGGTGGGCTTCTTGGCTGCTTTCTTTGGCTTGACTGCCGCTTTCTTGGGGGCTCCTGCAGGCGCGTCGGGCTTCTTCTTCTTCTTCGGACTGGCCTTTGCCTTGGCTTTCTTCTCCGATGGCTTTTTGGCTTTCCTGGCAGCCGCGGGGGCCTTTGGACTTTTAGATGCGCTCTTCTTGTCGCCCGATTTCTCGAACTTCTTCTTGTTGATTTTGAAGGAGCCGTTGGCTCCGGTACCTTTCACTTGAATCAGAGAGTCGTTCAGCAGCAGCGCTTTGATGGAGTACCGCAAGTAGGTGCGGCCGTTTTGCTGGTCGAACCAGCTCACTTTTTTGGCTTCGTTGTAGATCTTGACCAGTGAGGAGCCATTCCTCTCGGCCAGTTTACGGATAATGTCGATCACGAGCATACTGTATTTTCCAGGTTGATTCTTCTTTTTGCCAGACTTCTTCTTTTTAGCTGGTGTTCCAGGCGCCGCTGCTTTTACCTTACCGGAAGAAGCTTTCTTTTTGGGCTCTGTGGCAGTCTCATCAGGAGCCGCGACTGGCACTGTTTCTTGGGTGTCAGTGACCATGGCTAAAATTGTGTTATTGATGGAGCCTGACAATCACAACTTCGTTTGAGTTGCGAGTAAATGACACGCTGGTTGCGGCGCAAGGTATATATATCACCGATAAGCGGACGTGATTGGGAACAACAACACAGCTTGTCGCTGCGAGAATGAGGTTGTGTTTTTTGAAGTTTGTTTAAAACTAGTTTTCTCCCAAGTGACACAATTATCTTACATATTTCGACGTCAGATATGCAGACTGACCGATATAATGTGTAGTGGTGCATTCGGTAAAATGATATGTTAGAAACTGTTAGTAAGAAAACAGAAATGAAAGAGCACTCCCCAGATTTCTAGCTTTAAGTAGGATGGGGGGACCTACTTCAAGAGAGAAAATTTTGGAAACTTGAAAGTATTCCTGCGTGCGCCTGCTTTACATTTCCGAAGTCGGGAACTGCCAATTTACTAGGGCCAATTTCATTTTACAGAAGTGGCACATTATCGAAATATTTAATGTTTAGTTTATTTTAACTAGCACAGCAGACGCCCTCGCGTGGTAGCATGCAGAATATTAAGAGGTTTGGGCGTTGCGTCACGCCTCAACATAAGGTAGATTAGTCGTTGTTAAGACACTCGGAACACTTTCCTTCTTGAGTTATGTTTGCTGCTTGTACTTGTGCGTATATATATTGTCCAAATGTTTTGTTTTCTGTAATGGACAGGACGTATATACGAATTTAAACTATAAACTGTAAATCTGAGTACGACTGGCATTATTGGCCACATGAAAACATACGAAAACATAAAAAGTTTAAGCTTTAACCTTAACTTTGATATCTCTCTATCGTAGACTAGAAGATACTTCTGAAACTTATGAAAAGTTAGCAAATTTCATCCTAACATGGTACTTTAGATTACTGGACTCCCTAGAGGTTTTGCTAGTGTTCTGATTTATCACAAAAATTATCAAATTTGCGTCGGTCAATGTGACAGTGCAATAATAGTTGCAGAAAATAATCACACCACCTGTTAAATAGTGCGCTTCAAAACTCAGATTCAAAAATGGGGTGGTGGTGGGCAATAAAAAAAAAAAAATTCAAAAATGTTCCTTAATGGCCACTAGATGGAGATTGCGAGCCAACTCGCCAAATGCCGCTTGTGTACTATGTTTTAAGTTTGATTGATAAAACATAAGGTGAGGGTGAAAGAAATTTGGGCTGTGGTCACTTGTATATATTTTTGTTCTAAATATGAGTCACTGAGTCTAATTTATTTCAAGTGTTGTAAAATGTTACCATCTTGAACACGGGGCTTTCATCTTCTGGAAGTGACGAGGAAAATCCGAGCTAGGTAAAATGAAGCGGCAGACGCAGGGCAAACCAAACAGACCACAGTAATGTTATGTAAACAATGCATTAGGGATTAAAAGTGGTTGTTGTAAATAGAAATATTTTTTTACACAGCCTTAGATCAGCATTTTACAAAGGATCGCCAGCATGTACTCAAAGTTAGGATCAGAAGAGTCTTTACTTTTATTGTACCAACACGTTTTAAATCAAATGGAATATGTGTAATTTGTCACCTATTTTTTGTACAGACCGTCTCACCATGGTTGGCTGATAACATTTATCCTCAATCACTTGTCCAAAAAATAAAATACAGATTTAATTCAAGAACCTTTTATTATCATTATTACTTTATAACCCAAATATTCTGAAAACAATCGGTATCTTATTTCTTGAATACATTATTGTTAAATTAATAATGCCAGAATGAGTACTTACAAGATTTTTATAGGGATTAAATATCCATTCCTGTTTCAGTACAGCATTCCACCACTTCCCAAAATGTAATGAAATTTCTAAACACGGTACTGTACATGAACACACAACTTGTATCTGATTGGTTAAAAGTAATATAACAAAAGATTTTTCCAGCCTGAAGCACCTGCAGACGATCAGGTGGAAGCATGGAAATGATGGGAAACATGCAGTTAGGCAAAATAACGCTTCGCAAAAGTATCAGTAGCGGTAAAAGTAGTATTAACATCCTAAGAATAAATTACATAGCAGTTTCTACGTTTAACTTTAAAAGGCCTGGTGACATCTGCTCACGGTGCGATTTTTCCTGTGAATTCAGTCTAAGAAGCAGAGTTAGCCGTAAAGAGGGTGAAGAGGAGGCCAGAGATGGGACTGAGCCCCCACAGAGATGGGACTGAGCCCCCACAGAGATGGGACTGAGCCCCCACTGCTGCCCCCAATGCTAAGTGCTTTGTGGTTTCATGTGACTGGTGCCCAGTAGGTCAGGAAGTGTGTCAGCTCACTGTCCAACACACAATGCTTATGAAAATTTTGTCAATATCGAAGAGCAGGTGTGAACCAAACTGTAGGCGAAATACAAAATAAAGGTGCAAACACAATCAGTATGCTTTTGTTTGGCTGATAAACTAATTTGCAGGAAAACTAAAACGTTAATGACTGCCTAGGTAATAACTTACTTTAAGTCATATAATAGAAACCTTAGCCATTTTGTAAAGTAAATTAGCAAAACAGCTCAAGTTATAACAAGGCTGGCTTGACAAAGTCGACAAAATGTACTGCTTATAAGTAAAATATCTCCTGAAGCTCTTAATCCCACTTGTTAGGTAACATAAGCTCCTTCTGGCTAAATGTCAGAGAGCGAGGAGGAACTGTACGTCTCTTAGGTGGTAAGGGGACACTAAGACTTCTGAAATAATAGGAAAGTCTGTTATGAAAACAAAATGTGCGTATGTGTGTGTGTGTGTGCGTGCGTGCGTGCATGCAGTACATCGGAAAAAAGGAAGTCAACTCTCGTCTACCACCATACTGAATGACTCCTGCTGGCCAGTGATGATGGATTCAGGTGATGAGGGCCAATAAGGCAAGGGAGAAACAGGCTAAGAACTGTTATGGACTCAGGGCTTTCAGAGGGCACGGGGAGGATTTGAGGAGGTCATAGGAGACCTGAACAGCTGCAAAGGCCCCACTCAGCAACTGCACGTTTCTGCCGAAGCCTTCGTCCTGTCGTTCTTGTCCAGTTTTATTGGCTCCGGAAACTCATTGTACAACTCTACTTCTGTCTCCTGAGAAAGAGAGAGAGGGCAGGAGTGAAAGCAGTGGTGTGTGCAAACAGATTGATTTTAAACATATACAAGGGCAAAACATCTCCCAAGTTCAAGCATATAATGAGGAAAGACAGAAAACATGCATCAGCCAAATAAACAGCGTATAATCAGGTTGACACCGGCTCCTGGCTTCAGTGCCCTGAGTGGCTGCAGGCTTCTGCCTTTCAGATGCCAAGGGCAGCGTCCTCACCTGCTTCAGAGCATTGCGTGCTATGGTTTGGAAGGCCTGGTCTACATTGATGGCCTCCTTGGCACTGGTCTCAAAATAGGGGATGTTGTTCTTACTCTGGCACCAAGCCTGCGCTCGCTTGGTCGTCACCTGTCAGGCAAAGACAGACTGTCATTATCATCTTGTTTTTCTCCACACTCGATTATTTCGTATGAACACACACACACACACACACACACACATACATATTTGTATTCATATCTTTGTGGAGATTGACCATTAATTTCTAAGGGCAAAACCTTAATCCCAACTATTACATCCTTGACTCCGACCCAGCCCTAACCTTAACCATAAGTAACCAAACAAAATAAAAAAAATCTTTTGGCATTTAATCCCATTTTAGTGTGTTGGGTGCAGTCAGATTTTTGTAAAACTGTGTTTCCCCTGCTGGAGACCAAAAAATTCGGCCCCACAATGTCAAAATAAGAGTTTTTTTTTTGCACTGGAGTAGTTGGTGAAATATTTGTGCTGTAGTTCAAAGACAATCAAGTAACATAAAAAACAAATATTGAAAGTTCAGTGTTGCACTGCACTGATTACCTGAGTGTATCCGAAAAGTGCACTTCAGCTACGTTAAAACAAATGTCAACAATTTCACCTGGGACACTGACCACAGACAGAGAGCTGGGGCAGGAATCAGGCTAAAGGGGCTCTTTGTTTATATTCTGTGCAAATAGCTATGAATTTTCCATTTCACCTTCATTTTATAGCTTATTTTATATTAGTTTATAATCAGGAATTGACATAACTGGTACACAAGTACACCATGGTCATATAAAGTGATACAAATGGCAAATTATTGTTGTAAAAGACTAAATGTGTAATTATTTTATAAAAATTAATATTTAATTATGTTTTATGAGCATTTGCCTTCTTATGATGATAAATTACCGGGCATATATACTTTTATATGTCTAAGTTTGTAAGGCCCCAATGGCAAAATCACACTGCTGACACTGGGATTTGAACCAATGACATTGTGATGAAGGTACAGTCAGTCATGCTACAACGTGACTAACGTGTTCCTGAAAAATCACTTACTAAAATACACATATCCAATGGGAAAAACTGGGTTAGGGGAATGTGACTTATGCCAAACAAAATGAACTAAATAATAAAAACAGTGATGCCAGTGGCCAATTATCTGCGTATTTTAAATACAAAATCATTATAATACATTAATAAATTATATCATAGATACCTGCTATGGGTCTTATGAAAATTCCCTAGCAACAGCTTCAACCGAATGTGCTGAATTCACTAACTTGGCAACTATCATGCGGCCGGATATGCAAACAGGACAAATACTATAGATTGCAGTATGCAGAGGGACACAGAAGGCAACATGGCTACAAACAGCCTATGAAAAGAAAATGTACATGAGTTGAAAGGTTCATGTGTGTTTTTATATGATAATTTGTCAAATATTTTTAGATCTTTAGAACCTAAGACTTTCACTTGTGCAATGTGTGGATCTACAAAAAAAAATTTAGATTTGAAAATCGGTTTGATCTCATTGAAAAGAACCAGTTCAAAAAAATTCGTTCATGAATTCGTTCAAAATTCATTCATCAATCGCATCAGAACAGATTTGCAGCGTGATATCACATGTTGTAGCAGGACTGAATGCACATTGTTCCCACCAAAAAACCCCCCCGTATTGTCATTAAAAAAAAAACATCCATTCTAGTTTTCCACCTACCTGCCTGTTCTCCAGGTCAATTTTGTTTCCTAGCACTACAAAGGGGAAGTTTTCCGGGTCACGCGGGCTGGCCTGGATCAGGAACTCATCTCTCCAGCTGTCCAGGGTCTTAAAGGTGTTGGGTGCAGTGACGTCAAACACAAGCACACAGCAGTCTGCTCCGCGGTAGAAGGCAACGCCCAGTGACTGAAATCGCTCCTGACCGGCTGTGTCCCATATCTGAGCAGGACATAAAGAGCAGGTCATGTGTGAATGTGGTGGCGATCAACCAGAAGAGGCCCAGCAGGAAATGCACTACAGACCACCTCACACAAAATGCCTTCTCTGGAGGTCCCAATCTCGCTTAAGTGTGTGAATAAATCATGCACCACTTTCTTTATGAAAACCCCAGCAGAATCAGGTTTTGAAGTGCTATTTTAAAACATTATGGATCAAGGCTACCAGTGCAAGCAAGTTTGCTAATGTCTGATGAAGTACAACGTTGTTAAAATCTACTGTATTTCTAGACCATAAATTTCACCTAACACTTCCATATCTCCAAAATGCTTACAGATGCCTCTGTGCTGCTACAGTTGAATTCAAGATATTTAACTGATAAAAAAAATCTGCATATGTCTGTATGTGTTTGTTGTTTCTCATTAAGAGGTTATGAGCAGCCTCATGGTTTTGTGCACTACAGCCGTTGTACAGTGTACGACTCATTATAATGCACCACATCCTGTCAGTCACGAACCACACTTCCTGATTCCTGATGAACGTCGCTGTTCAATGTGATTACTATTGTATGAACTGGCATGCTAGCTAACACATAAATAAAGTGCACAGCGAAACGCTCTGGGCTGTAGGCACTGGTCAGAAGTCGTACCTGCATAGTGACCAGCCTGTCGTCCACCATCACTTCCTTTGTTAGGAAGTCAGCTCCTATGGTAGCTTTATACTGGTTGCTAAACTTCTTGTTCACATACTGGTTCATCAGCGAAGTCTTGCCAACACTAGTAGAGAGATGGAGGAGGAGGGGGGAGAAAGGAAACAAGAGATGAAGGGAATGGAAAAGTGCATTGAAATCTGAGGCTTGTAGATGCATTATAAATGAAATGCATTTACTTTTTATCCTTTCACTCAAAAAAAAGATTTCAAATGTTATGCCATGATTAATAAAAAAACAAGGCATAACAACAGAGAAAAATGGGTGAACACTTATAGAAAAAAAGATTAGAAATTATGTACAGAAGAATGGTTTCACTTTTTGTACCAGTGCAGTGCTGATTCCTGTGCAGGTTGTATGAGATTCAACAGAGGATACAGTCCTAACAGAGGCTACAGTCCTAACAGAGGATACTGATTCCTTTGCAGTGATCCTTGTACAGTGCACTACACTCCTTGTACAGTGCATGGGACTGTCATTATAACTTTAATCAGACACTGCTCTATCACTGGTCAGTACTAATAAAAAAAAGTAATAGATCTATTAGCAGCAGACACAACTATCATATATGCATCTCTCTCTCACACACACACACACACACACACAGGCACACACACACACAGACACAAAGTTTAACAGTTGTACATGATGATAAAAACAGATTTAGATTCCAAATCATAATCCTTTACAACAGGCATCATTGCAAACCACGTACTTCAAGCACAATGAAACTTGTAATTCAGTGTATTATTTGATACAGTAAAACAAGCTCAGATATAAAATTACTGGATATGCTGCTGGAGATACTTGTTAGTTTTGTCACTGCATCCAAAACATTGAAAAACCAAAATGCAAATATGTAATGCTATATCCATGATGGCAGCAGGTCTTTGAGGCGGTTCGGGGTCGGACTAGAAAATGGTTTCCAGCTGGTTTATGCACTATATTACCCACCTGCAGCAGATAGAGACCCTGAGGCAGTTTCTAACCTATCGCACAATGACGGCCAAGCTTAACTGTAGCCTAAATGAACCACTCACAGTAACTTGTTAAAAGTAATGGTCGATATGTTAAAGGGGCTAATTTAGGCCCTTTATATAATATCAGGGAATTTAGTTTCAGCATCAATAGCCTATTATAGTCAAGTAGTTGTTACTGGTGGAAGTCAAGCATCAGGCATCGCGAGTGACTACTAGATAAGACCTTAATTAAGAGGTCGTGACTGTGATGGAGGTAAATTTCACTACAACACGGGCCAACAAAAAGCGAAAGTGTGATACTCACCCCGAGTCCCCAAGAATAATGACTTTGAGTAGCACTTTCTTTCTGGATGTCATCGTGTTAAAGCTGAAGGAACATGGAAGAACATAGAATAAAGATTCTGGGGAGAAAGATTTAGTCCAAAGGAAACCTGTGTAAGGAAAATGTCAGACAGTCTGAACTGCTGTGCGTAATTACTTTTAAGGCATTTGTGCCACCAGAGGACTTAATCTTTGGCATTTTGGCGGAGTCTGTGAAGGGCACGAATTACAGTGAAGCCCAAAGAAATAGAATCAAAGTTTCCCTGCCAATTTACAGTCTGTGCCAAGGGAGCAAAAAGGGTTCAAAAATAGAAAAACTGACTGAAAATACTGAAAAGAAATTGGGAATGAAAGAGAACGACAGTAGCAAGACTGTGAGGCTCTCAGTGAAGGTTCAGATGCTCTCCTGATTGTGATAAAACTACATTATGATTCCGACTGTCTAGATAAGTATGATTCCAAAACTAATACATCATATCAGAGTGAATAATACATCACATTTACCATCTACAGAATACTGTACTGTAGAGTACTGGATGAGTATGACTCCAAAAGTCATGTACCATATCTCAGTCATTAGTATATCCCATTTACCCAAGGTCATAGCCATGGAGACAACATTGGGGGGTACCAAGACCATAATTATAATATACACTCACCTAAAGGATTATTAGGAACACCTGTTCAATTTCTCATTAATGCAATTATCTAATCAACCA